AAGGAATAACAAGTGTAATATCCACTAAAACACAGCTTAAGTATATAACACCAACAGTAGAAACCCAACCTTCTAAGTGGAGATCCCACAAGGAAGGTTCAATGTGGTATAAACAAGCTGTTGAATGTATCATTGTGCACCTAAAACTACAAGACTGATACTTTATAAATAAAGTATGATTAGTTCTTTCCCTAACATACCTAGAAGGTGCTGTTAACTGCAAGTATAGTAAGAGATTATCTCTGAATGGGGTCGAGTTTTCTAAACAAGATGTAAGCAGTGCATCTTTGGAGATGCCCAACTAAATGAGTATAGTTGTTTGGCCGCAACTAGAGGAAAGGGTTATTCCTTGAAGATACTCGTGAAACAAGATCGTGACATATGGCCTAATGTGTCAACCCTAAAGATCAGAACATAGCCTATAAGTTGTTGTTACTAATGAACATCATTACACTCACGACATGAATTCAAGGCTTAGATCCATTCCTTTCGGTGATGACATAAGTTGGATAACTTAGGTAGTGGTTCAAACCGGAAGGTACCATTACTGAAAGCAATTTATGATGACCCTGATAAATATTCTCTAAGGATTTGTGGGGGATTGTTGTAATTAATGTTACATGTGAAAAGAGAATTGTATGAGAATCCTTAGATGGTGTGTTTAATGTTGTAAGTAAAGAGTAATATTAATGTTACATGTGGAAATGTCAAAATTCAATGGGAGGAAATTTTAACCGTGTTCGGTTTTGAGAAGTGTGAATAAAACTCATAGTTTCATTACTTTTGTCTTAATGAAGGCATTGAATAAAGTTCTCTTCATTTAATGAAAGCATGTTTTATGAGCACTATAAATAGAGTGCATGCAAGCTTAAGAGAAGCCACACCAAGAGAAGAAAAGAAAAGAATCACTTTATATATACATAGTCTCTTTCATCCTCTACAAGTCTAAGAACAATTAAGGGTTTTTGGCGACTGAGCTTCTGATCGAGGTGAGTGTGTTAGATAGTGCAGTCTTCACACTTTGAGCCATCTTATCCTGGAGAAAAGGCGTAGTACTCGTTGCACAATATCGGGCCGTCTGTTTCTTCAAGGCAAACAGATTTTCTGTGATTCGGCTATTCGTGTTCTATGATAATATAGAACTGTAAATTAAGTTATTATTTTATAATTTACTTATTTATGTACTAATAGAAATCTGGTTTCATCTCACGTTCCTGTGGTTGATGTTTGTGGTTTCTATTTTCAAATTTTTAATACGTATATGTGTTGAAACTCGTTCTTAATTCGCCTTTCACAATTTATATTTCCAATAGTGGTCGTGGAAGAAGCTGTCCGCGGCGGGAATATCATCACGAGCGTGAGACAGTGGCGGGGCCACGGCGGAGTTTACCTGGAGTTCGGCCGTCTACTGGACGTGGCGTAGGTGCGCCGGCGCCGGAGCCTTTGGCCGGACAATTTTCGGCAGAGTCGTGGAGGGTAGTACTGGACAGTGAGTGTGTATGAGTCGGGGTGGTTCTGTGTGTTTGTGTGTGTCCGTGCCTATGTGTGAGTGTATGTGTGTGTGTGTGTGTGAGAGAAAGAGAGAGAGAGAGAGAGAGAGAGAGAGAGAGATGGTGAGTTATGAGTGACAGGCTGGTGGACGATTTAATTGGTGGTGGGACCCATTAATGTGGTAGTTATAGGTATGTGTAAATGCCCATATCATCCTTAATTAAGGTATAATTTTGACTCTTTTTATACAGTTGATCATCCGATCTAGTGGCTGCGATTCATTCACATTTCTTTCATTGAGTACCATTCTCGCTGGAACGCGACCCTATATATATATATATATATATTTGACATTTTTATGTATACTAGTAATCACTCGTGCGATGCACGGGGATATAATGAGATGTGAGCTTTTTAGAATGCAATTTTGTATATAATTGTGTAATAACACAATGATCATGATCATAAGAATAGACATATAAACATATAATTAAACTGAAAAGATCATATATTATTGAACACTTCCCTATATACAACATTGTTGGTTTGATTCTTTGGCACGTCATCTTTCAACCCTTTTCGGTTAGTGACACGGGAGACAACAACATATAATTGGTCATGAGTGAACACCGATTTCTTAAGAATTAAGGCAACATGAGATAAGAATTGTCCCTGGCTCTTGAAATGACGTAAGAAACCATAATGGGAAAGTCGCCGCTGGAACTTGAAATGAATTCTAACATCAGAAGGAGTTATGACCATTTTTGGAATTAATACCTTATCACCGGCATGATC